TATATATATATATATATATGGTAAATGTATTAATATAGATGTCTGTTAGTTTGTCTGTTTTAATCATCGTGCCAATTTCTATAGCCTTAAATTATCCTTAAATTATAAGATATGCAGTATAATAATAAATAACTTAATAATAATAATATTTACACTACCATTCAAACATTTGGGGTAGGTAAGTTTTTTTTATGTATATATTAGTCTCTCATGCTCACCAAGGTTATGTGTATTTTGATTAAAAAAATACAGTAAAATATTGTGAATTATTATTACAAATGTATTAATATAGATGTCTGTTAGTTTGTCTGTTTTAATCATCGTGCCAATTTCTATAGCCTTAAATTATCCTTAAATTATAAGATATGCAGTATAATAATAAATAACTTAATAATAATAATATTTACACTACCATTCAAACATTTGGGGTAGGTAAGTTTTTTTTTATGTATATATTAGTCTCTCATGCTCACCAAGGTTATGTGTATTTTGATTAAAAAAATACAGTAAAATATTGTGAATTATTATTACAATTTAAAATGTTTAAAAATATATAAACTGTTTTCTATTTTAACACATTTTAAAATGAAATTTTTTCCTGTGTTAACTTATTTTTTTTCAGGATTTTTGATGAATAGAAAATTCAAAAGGACAGCATTTATTTGAAATAGAAATTGTTTGTAACATTATAAATGTCTTTACTGTCTCTTGTTTTTTTTGTTGTTTATTTTGCCTTTATGTGATAAGACATATATTTTTTGATCAATTTAATGCATACATGCTAAATAAAACTTTAAAAATAGTCCAACTAGTCTGCCATTTTATTCCAAACATTAGATTTAGTTTATATGCTCAAATATTCAGTAGTACTGTATGAACATTTACTACATTTGACAAAATGCTTGATGCTTTGGCACATGAAAGTGAGTCTTCCACAGTGATGCTGCAAGAGAAGTGTGCGTTTTTCTCCGCCATCACCAAAACCAAACCAAACATATTAGGATTCGAGACAAAAAGAACCAAACGTGGGAAAAACAAATTAGTTAAATATCACAATACAGGGATAACAACCAATGGAAATTCCACGCCACTCACTGAAAATATAACTTGTGTAAGTTGCTACTAAACTAATCATTAAAAAGAAATGAACAGAATCTGGTGCATCTACAAATATGAGATGGAGCAGATATAACAGCACTGCTGCAGAGAGGACAAAAAAATCAAAGGGGTGGTTGATTGGATGCAGGGGATCTTTGTTAGCACATGAAGGATGTTTTGTTTGATTAGTCAGGGCTGTTTCGCGGGGTGAGCGGCTGCTTTGATCTGGGTCACCTCGATAAGGCAGGGGAGGGTGGCGCGGAGTGTCCTGACGGCAGGGAGGGCATCGATGATCTCATGTGGGGGCCGTCGGGTGGCCGCTCTGTGGAGCGAGAGCGACTGTACATGGGCCGCTCCAGCACGGACCGCTGGTCTGCAGAACGGGACCTGTGGTGATTCTCGTGCCTGTCTGGAGCTCCGTAATTCCTGGAGAAACGTGATTGTGGGAAACAGGGTGATGTTTAGTGTGGGTGAGGTCGGTTGGGTCGGGCTGTCGGAGTCTCAGAACGCCGCATGGCATTCTGGAAAAGCACTGAGGTCAGGTGCACAACAGGTCGTGGTAAAGTTGTCTCATATTTGGCATTTGGAAGCAACCCAAGTATGTACAGTGACATACTTTAATCTTCTTATTTTATAAGACTGAAAGATACATTAACAGTCTCATTAAATTCAGATTAGGACAATGAAATTCAAAATCACAAATTTTATAAAACTCAAATCACAGAAGCATACAAATAAACAAGAAATAGATCAAATGAATAAACAAATTCTTATTAAAAACTGTGGAAGGAAAGATTACTCTCAGATTATTCCCACATTTTTACAGAAGGAAAAATCCCATCCTTTTTGTTCAGAGAGAAAAAGATTTTCAGAGATAGATTCTGGTTTCTGCATGTTTTATGAAGGTAAATTGAAGACTTTTGAAGACCTTTGTAAGACCAAATATAGAATATTTAAGGAATAGTCTTGTATTAGAAACACTTCAAAGTTAAAAAATACAACTTCTAACAGATCTCCATTACTTTTTAATGTATTTAAAAAAAAAAAAAAAAAAGTGATGTTCACCCTCTGTATTTTTTTCTTGTTTTCCAGTGTAAATGTCTAAAGATTTTTAAATCAAAATACATTTACTTGAGAAGCAAAATTACAAATTCTTGTTTTGTGAGAAATTGATCAAAAAGAAGTGAGAATTTGCATAAACTCACCTAACTGTGTTCAATTTCTCAGAAATCAAGACTTCATATTTCAATAAGCATCTCAAATATCAGACCTCCTTATCAATTATTGATGAATTTTTTTTAAAACATCCCTATGGAGAAAATGAATGGGAAAAGTACTTCTATTCAGAGAGAAAAAGATTTTCAGAGATAGATTCTGGTTTCTGCATGTTTTATGAAGGTAAATTGAAGACTTTTGAAGACCTTTGTAAGACCAAATATAGAATATTTAAGGAATAATTTGAAAAGTCTTGTATTAGAAACACTTCAAAGTTAAAAAATACAACTTCTAACAGATCTCCATTACTTTTTAATGTATTTAAAAAAAAAAAAAAAAAAAGTGATGTTCACCCTCTGTATTTTTTTCTTGTTTTCCAGTGTAAATGTCTAAAGATTTTTAAATCAAAATACATTTACTTGAGAAGCAAAATTACAAATTCTTGTTTTGTGAGAAATTGATCAAAAAGAAGTGAGAATTTGCATAAACTCACCTAACTGTGTTCAATTTCTCAGAAATCAAGACTTCATATTTCAATAAGCATCTCAAATATCAGACCTCCTTATCAATTATTGATGAATTTTTTTTAAAACATCCCTATGGAGAAAATGAATGGGAAAAGTACTTCTGGAACCAACACTGTTAAAAACATTTGGCACAGTATAATTTACAGTAATGCACAAGACCACACAGAGACATGTGTAGTGAAGTTGTCCAGCATCAGAACACTGATGTATTAACTACTGAGATAAATAAAGTGACAGTGTGTAGTAAAAAAAAAAAAAGGTCTGGTAAATAATACAAAAATAAATAAATAATACAAAAATAAAAAAATGAATAAAATATCCGTTTACTGTTTAAAAAAAGAAAGATTTTTAAGAATATATATTTTTTTAAAATATTTATATTTACTCAAATGAAAAATTTTAAATGGCAGACAGCTTTAACAATTTAAACAACTCCTTAGGATCCCTAAAGGAAAGATCAGGGAATGGGTTGAAGACATGACAAGCTGCACAAGCTCTTTTATTTTAATTCAAAACATATTATTAGTATTACAACAATTTAAACCCTGCTAAACTATTTGCGTACCTCCAAAGTTCAAAGAAATACAGCCAAATTCAGCTGGGAAAACTTTAATTATAATATAATGTATCATATATTTAAATATAACATAATATAACTTCACTGTTTTGCTTGTTTTGGGACAAAATGTTTCTTGATTTGGGCATAAACGTCCTTATTATCTTACAAACTTTTGTAATGTTTTGTTAAGCAAAAGCATAAGCCAAGATGAAGACTTTGCTATAGATGTAGGATTGTTCGGTAGTGAAATTGGCCCAGCTCATGACAGTGCAGCAGGGATGCTCTCGGTGTTGGATATCACCCCATATAATGTCTTCATCCTGAAACAAAAAGGCTGTCGACATTTTAGACAGGCCATAAATGGCTGACCCAAATAGACTGCAGCACCGGTACCCCTCCATGTCACTGTACGCCTCTATGACAGGCCATCCTAGCAGGACGAGGTAACCTGACCACCACCCGCTGATTGATGGAACACACACTATTGCCACGACTGCCAAAAAGATGCAGATATTTGGAACTGCCTCACATAAACCCCCAGAGTGTGCATTACACACGCCCTCAACTTTATCAGGGTTTAAAGGAATAATTCACACAAAAATGAAAATTCACTCTCAGGCCACCCAAGATGTAGATGAGTCTGTTTCTTGCTTCTTTAGATCACTTGCTCACCAGTGAATGTTTTTTTTTATCAGCTGTTTGTACTGACGGCACCCATTCACTGCAGAGGAACCATTGGTGAGCAAATGAGCGAAAATGTCAATTTCTCCAAATCTGTTCCGATGAAGAAACAAACTCATCTACATCTTGGATAGCCTTGAGGGTGAGTATATTTTCAGCAAATTTTCATTTTTGGGTGAACTATACCTTTAATAACACAACATATCTTTGTTAAAATGTTTTAGAAATGTACATAAAAACATCAGATTAATGTACATTACTAGTGAATAAAAAATGCTGGACAACTTTTCACACAAAACACCAAGTTCAAGCGCAACTACGATCCCATTAATAAGCTCAAGGTAGTGAAGTACTGTATTTATGTCTGTTTTACATCATCTCTCATAGTTTATTAAAACAAAACCTGAGCTAGCTGTAAAAATGAGCACTCAGATTCTTTATGATGATCTTATGAGAAAATGACAATGATGCTTTAGAAATGAATTAAAGGCATACAGTAGCTCACCATTCTTACAAAGACAAAAGCATGTTAGGTTTAATGGTGTATATATTTTCCAACGTTTTGGGGGGAAATATATACATTTGCAAGGACGGTGTACATTAGGACAGAGGGATTAGGAAGTGCATGTGCTCCTATTTGAGCTAGTTTTCTTTGTTTATCTTTCTTTCCTAGTTTTTGGTTCATTCAACCTCATGTCGACATTTATGAGCCACTGGTGACCTGTTGATTTCATGTGCACAACTTCATTTTTACACATTAAAAAGTTCACACTTTCTGCATTACAGTTCATTGAATATGATAAAATTCATCTAGAAAATAGTTTTAAAAAATGTACAATTAAAATTGATTTAATAATGAAAAGTAATAATCCAAATAAAAACCTTAACAATTAACATGCAGGGGAGAATTCGTATGGGATGTTAATTTAGAAAATAATAATAACAACATTTATTTTTTTACACTTTTTTTA